GGAATATACTTTTTTTGGCATTTAAAATATATTTTAATGAAAAGACTTTCTCACCATATTTTAATAAAAACAAGCTGCATTTAAAATCTGGATTTGAGCCGGGCTCGGTGGCTCAGCCTGTAATTCCACACTTTGGGAGGCTGAGGTGAGTGGATTGCCTGAGTCTGCGAGTTTGAGACCCACCTGGGCAACTTGGCGAGCCCTCATCTCTACAATAAATCAAAAAATTAGCCGGGCATGGTAGCGCGTGCCTGTAGTTCCAGCTACTTGGAAGGCTGAGGTGGAAGGATTGCTGGAACCCTGCAGATCGAGGTTGCAGTGGCCGGGAGTGGCCACTGCACTCCAGTCTGGGCGACAGAGTGAGACTCCAACTCAAAAATTTTTTAAAAATTACAAAAATCTGAATCTGCTCTGGCATTAGGATTTAATTGCTTTCTTCTCCACAGGTTTCAGAGGCCACCATACCACCAACTCCTCAGTGTCCTTGAGGCCTGAGCTGGACACGTCCTCCTATGGTGAAGGCACATCTTTTTGTGCCTTCTATTCTGGTAATGATAGGCAGTCCATGAGAGTTCTGGGGACCCACACCACATTTCTCATGCTCTGCAAGTGAAGGCTCGTAAGCTTGTGATGAATCCAGTTTGCACAAATGAGAGACTCCACACCTTTGGTCATGGTCCATAGCCTGCCCAGGGGCTTCTGAACTCCTGAGTGCAAAATCCCTGCCTAAGGGTAGGGACTGTTCTCTTGAAAGGCAGCACCCACTAAGTGTCCAATGGAACATCTTCTTATAAAACTTCTTTTGTCCCTTGGTTCCAGAGTGGCTCTGTTTCCCTTCCTTATTTGGAATATTGGAGTTTGAAGTTGGGAAGGATGTTAATTAATAGTCCATAGTGATTAGAATTATTATGAATTAATTTAGAAAAACTCTAGCACCACAATAAAAATTCTAACTTGAGAGTTCAAACAAACAAGAATTGCATTTTTGACTATTCTGTAAATGTAAGTTATAGGAGGAAAGAACTCAAAATATTTACAAATGAAAGCTAGCACTGTAGAAGGCACACAATAAAAAAAAACTGCTTCAGTATTTTAATAAGAAGTAATGTTTCAAGACATTTTAGAGTGTGACCTTCCTGTGTGCTTGTTATGATCCTAAGGCAACATATGACAAAGCTCCCTGACTTCAAGGAGTACAAACTAGAATCAAAGTAGAACATCTGCCTAAACGGAGATGCTCAAAATTTCCAAACAAAGGAAATACTCATGCAATATAAATTGTTTGCTCTTAAAAAAATGGTGGGGCCGTAATACCCCCAGACAGAACATGAAAGTCCTAAGAAACCAGCCATTCCTTCAACTTCGACGGTCACGTACTAACACTGCTGCTTAAGACTTCTCTAAACTAACCATGCAAGTAACCACACAAGCTAAGCTACAGTTTTTTAGAAATGTGTGGACTTGACTGTTTGTTTGCATTTAGGTATGTATGTGCTTTTGTGTAAAAGACATAAAAAGATAACAGATACAACTTTGTGATGAGAATATTTATAACTGGAAATCTAAGGGGTTTTATTTATTTATTTTTACCTTGGTTAAAGAAAACCACACATGAAATTTACCATCTCAATCCCTCCTAGGTGTAGTGTTCAGTAGTGGTAGGAACATTCACTGTTTTGGAACACATCTCTAGCGCTTTTCCATCTTTCAAAACTGAAACTCCAGATCCATTAAACAACCACTCCCTCTCCTCTGTTTTCCTGTTCATTCCCATCACCATTCTGCCTTCTGTTTCTATGAGTCTGATGACTTTAGATCATTCATAGAAGTGGACTCACACAGTATTTGTCTTTGTAGATCTGGCCCCTGACTTAACACAAGTGCTGGAGGTTCATCCATGTTGTCGCATGTGACAAGATTTCCTTCCTTTCAACACGAAGTAGTATTCCATTGCATGCATACATTGCATTTTGTTTATCCGTCCATCCGTGGATGGACAATGGGCCATTCCCAGCTCTTGGCTACTGTGCAGAGTGTTGCAGTGAACACAGGTGTACAAAGGTCCCTCTTCCTGTGGATGTAGACCTAGAGGTGGAACTGCTGGAGCTATGGTATTGCTGGTTTCAATTTCCTGAGAAACTGCTATATTGTGTTTCATAGTGGTTCTGAAATGTTCTTAATCTTTGCTCTCTGGGTTCTCACTCACAAATATTAGTTCTTTACTTGGGGAGGCGGAGGGTGGGAGGGAGAGGCAGTACAGGCCTCTCTTTGGTTGGGTCCCTTTCCCCCCCAAGGACCTGCTCTCCAGGCTCAGCTCAGCTCCCCTTTCCCACCAGTCTCTCCCTCTCTTTCCTGCCACTCAATGCCAAATGCTACTCCTAGCCCCTTGAGGTAGGCAGAATGATGGTCTCCTCCAAAATATCTACTCCATAATCCTTGGAAACTGTTGATGTGTTATATTTCATGAAAAAAAGGAACTTTGCAGAGGTAATGAAAGTTCCAGGCTTTATGATTCAGAGATTATACTGCATTATCCAGGTGGGCCCAGTTTAATCACACAAGCCCTTAAAAGTAGAGAACTGCTTCTAGTCAGAGAAGGAAGAGGAAGACAGAAAAGAGACACTCCTAAAAGAGTAGCCAAAGAGATGCCAAGTGTAAGAAGGATTGGCTGCACCATGATGACTGGTTCTGAGATGCAAGGGCCACGTGCGAGGGCCGCAGAGCCTGCGGGAGACCAAGGCAGGCCCTGCTGCAGCCAGAGAGGAGGCAAAGACCCTAGTCCTAAACTGTAAGGAACTCAATTCTGCTGCAGCCTACATGAGCACAGAGGAAGATTCTTCCCAAAGTCTCCAGAAAGGGACACAGCCCTGCCAGCTTTGTGACTTCTATGCTGTGAGACTGACATATAGAACTGTGAGATCATCAGTGGACATCGCTTTAAATTACTAAATTTGTGGTCATTAGTCATGGCTGCAAAGAGAAAATGGATCTGCCCTCAAGCACACTCACTTGGGTCTCTCCTGGCCCTTTAGGAATGTGCCGGGACTCAGAAGGTGTCAGCTGGAGAGGTGTCAACTGGAAAGCCCAACCAGCAACACTGTGTAAATGTACTACTGGGCAAGGCCAGAGAGTGACTGTAATTTGCAGAACACTAGCATTTTGGAGAGAGTTTGTTGTTGTTTTTTTTAATCTGATGTCCATAAAAGCAGCAAGGATTTCAAATGAAAGAGGGGCAATCAGCCTCCTGGTCAGTGGTAAGAAAATAATCTGGGGCCAAACCTTGCAGCAGCACTCTCCCATCCACACGGCCCTTCCAAGGGCTGGTTACATCTCTGCATGAGCTTTTTTGTAAGGTTTTCCTGTCCCTCATGTATAAAATATTATGTATGTTCATAGTAAAAAAAACAAAAAACAAAGAGTACAGAAGGTGATACATTGAAAAGCAAGTGCCCTTCCTCACAATCCCAGGAAGTTTTCACATAACTTGGTCTTTCTGTATATCTTTTTCCCTTTGCTCTTTCTTTTAAACAGAATCCTTCTGCACATGCTATTCCATAAGCTTATTTTTTTCATTTGTTAACTTACTCTCCCCTGAACAGAACAGGCAAGAACTCGGCTTGCCCACACCCTCTACACAATACAGATAGATGGCCAATGTGCCACTCAAGTGTCTGGAACTTACTGTCCCCTGAACAGAACAGGCAAATACCCGGTTTGTTCACACCCTCTACAACATAGATAGAACGCTAACGTGCCACTCAAAAGCGTATGGAACTTATTTTCCCCTGAGCAGAACTGACAGGTACCCAGCTTGCCCGCACCCTCTGCAACATTACTACCGCTTTAAAATGTTTACCAATTTCTTAGTAGAAAATGACTTCTCACTGTGTCATTCATGTTTATTCAGTTCTCAGTGAGGTACAGGATCTTTTCAAATGTTTACTGGACATTTATAAATCTTTTCATGTCCTATTTATGTCACTGGCAAATTTTTCCCTTTAATCCACTTTCAAATTGACTTATTCAAGCTATTTGTCTGTTAAGGAAATAAGCTTTTTGTCTGATGTGCTGCAAACATTTTTTCCTGTGGGTTGTCATCTGTCTCTACTGATAGTATTGTTTGCTATCATAATTACAAATTTATATGTAGCTGAATAGATCAATATTTTTCTTTTAGGCTTTTGGTTGGGTGTCATAGTTGTAAGTACCTTCCCTGCTCCAAGATTATTTTTCAAAATTCACTGATATTTCATCTCTTTCATTTCTGTATTTTATCCATCCGGAATTTATCTTAATGTAAGAAGGAGAAAAGAATACAAATTTACTTTTTCCCTAAACAGTGAGAAGTTTTCCTAATATTTATTGTACAATCCATCTGTTCCCAAATTATATATTAAATATATTATCTGTTTTTGATGTCTCTGCTTTGGTGCCTTCACAAGTTTTTTTTAACTATTTATCTTTACACACACACACACACACACACACACATATATAATGTGTATATGTGTGTGTACATACATTTATATATATATATATATTTTTGAGTGGGAGTCTCACTCTGTCACCCAGGCTAGAGTCCAGTGGCATGCTCACAGCCACCACAGCCTTGACCTGCTGGGCTCAGATGATCCTTCCACCTTAGCCTCCCAAGGAGCTAGAACTACAGGTGTGTGCCACCACACCCAGCTAACTTTTTGATTTATTGTAGAGATGAGGTCTCATGAAGTTGCCCAGGCTTATCTCGAACCCCTGGGCTCAGGCAATCCTCTCATCTCCTCCTCCCAAAATACTGAGTTTACAGGCATGTGCCACCACACTCGGCTTAATTTTATATTACACTTTTTATATTTTATTATTTTTGACATCCTCTGGCTTTTTTGGCATGCTAATTTTTGCAGATGAGCTTCTTATCAACTTAAAAAAATGTTTCTTGACTTTCTGTGTTTCGATCTGACTCATGTTAAGTCACTGTGTTGTGAGGCTTGATTTTTACTCACCCAGATAGATGCCATGATACCCCACCTTTGTCCTGAGCTGAGATCACACCAACCTATTAAAAGGAAAACATTTAGTAAGTGGCCTAAATCTGTGATGCAGAACACAAAAACCTCATCCAACTCTTCATCTTTAATCCAGAAAACAGAAGTCAACGTTCACAGAGAAACCTCCTCAGGAAGAGGATGTATCTGACACAAGGTACCCCCTTTGCTCAGCAATCATTTACTGGGCACCCACCAAGGAACCGTGAGGGACCTGTGAGCTCCTGAGACAAGAAAGGAAAACAGCTTTGCACTTAAGGGCCTGACAGACAGGCTTCCTGGAAAGCCAATTTAACTTTTTAAAATCCGATTATGCCAATCACAGACGGCTTTCAACCAGGACAGGCTACCACCACAGGGAATAGGAACAACAAAAACATGAGAAATTGCTCCTCCCACTAAACCAACACACATTTCAGTTTGACTCCTAATGTTTGACCTCGAACTCCAGGCACCAAGCCTACAGCCTGTATAGACAGATATGTCTGCTCTAGGAGAAAGCAAAGTGCAGCAGTGAAGGGCCGTTTGGGAGGAAGCAAGGCCCACTTTCCATAAATAGGCATTATTCAAACATGCTGGCATATCTCCAGGGTTGATGTAGAAACGGAAGTTGCTCCCACCCATCCTGGGAACAAAATATTCTAAAAATTCACTGAGAGCCCCAGCACAAAGTACAAGAGGAAATTACACCATTAATCCCTGGAAACATTTAGCCTTGGTTTTCTCAGGCTTTCTGTGGCCTGGGGCAGCCAGCTGTCTCATCAGAGTCCAACACTCCATCTCTCCTCCCTACAGTTGTCAGAATCTAACATTACATCTATCCTCTCCACATACAGATGTTAGAGTCCAACACTACATCTCTCCTTCCCACATACAGATTCTCCCGACCTTTCATGGCATTACATCCTGATAAACCCTTCGTGAAGTTAAAAAATCAGAAGCTGAGCCACCAGAAACAGGGGCCATCTGGATTCACCGGACACAAGGTACACTAGTTCTGGTTTTACTTCTTAAAGCTAGACACAATTTCTCTGAGCCACAGTTTCCTCATCTGTAAAATGGGAGAGCAGGGCTGCTGCCAACCCTGAATGAGATAACATGTATGATAACATCAGCCAGCGTCTTGAACTCTTCCTACCGCCAGGTAATATGAAAAGCAACAGAAGGTCAGTGTCACAAGGCTGGGTATTCTGGTTATGTTTGTTCATTGGGGTACAGTAGGTGCTAAAAAATGCTAATTTACTGAATGAATGATTTACATTCATCCTCGCAACCATCCAGTGGGTGAGGTATCATTAACAACATCTCTGTTCTGCATATGAAGAAGTTGGACACAGAGAGGTCTGGTGACAGTCCACAGTCACACAGCCTGGGCGGGCCTGCTGAACAGAGGCAGTCGCATTCCACAGGCAGACATGGACCCTGCTTCTGTCTCAACCAAGGCCTGGCCCACAAGCCGCCAAAGACCACATTCAAGAGGTGCTGACCCAGGATAATTCGGATTGGAAATTATTACTGACTCTTCATTTAACTTTTGAGAGGTAAAGTTGACTCCCCCGTGAAGGCCAAGCGACTTGCAACAGAACAACACACCCTTCCAACACCTCTCCTCTTCCTTCCTCCCCTGCAGGTATTTCTAAACAGATTTCTCAACACAACCGCAGGGTCCTGGGAACAGGTACTGGTTTCTTTACATTTTAAATTCCTTTTCTGATCACTCAAGTTTTCTGCCTTCATGAAAACCAAAGGCGATGGCTTCATGAAATAACGTTTTCATAAGCTCCATTTTTTATGATATTGATGAAAAAGTCGTAAGCGCAGCTCTCCCGGAGGCAGGGTCCTGCAGTCTGTGCTGAGCTCCCATCCTGGGAAGAGCTCGACTGGGCTGGGCCACTTCTCAGTCGCCCAGGCCCAGCGATCCAGAGCCCCAGGCCCTCTGGAAGCCACCATTTCCCCTCCATGGCCACCTGCGCGTGGATGTCCAGATACCACCTGCGAGCTCAAATGCCGGGGTGGCTCCTGTCTAGTGAATCCGACTCTTGCCATCAAAGAAAACAGCGAGTCTTCGCTGGAAGACTCCTGGAAAAGCAACCTCCGATCTGGCAACCCCCAGTATCCACGCCGACTTCCTTCCACTCCTAAAAATTAAGTGGAATAAGACTGCCCGTGAAGAGGAGCAAGTGCCCACAGGCCGGGCGGGGGTTCGAGTCCGCAGGCGCCAGGACCCCAGGCCGTTCCGGGGACCCCGGGCCACCCCGACTCCCGGGGCCTAAGGACTGGGGGGCGGTGCTGTCCCTGCGCTGCCCGCTGCGATAAAAAGCAAAGCTTCCAGGGAGCGAGGGCAGCGAGGTCAGCGGGGCCTCCGAGACCCCACCGGGCGGCCCAGGACGTACGCTCCAGGCGAGCCCGGCTCCCGGATCCCCAAGTAGCTCTGTCCGCGGAGGCCCCTCCGCCCGCAGCCCCAGCCCTGCAGCGACCGGCGGCGACAGGCGAGGTCGCGGGCGCGGAGGCTGTACTTACCCGTCGCGCGGTGGGACCTGATGGCGGGCAGTGGGGACTGAGACCTGGCGGCGGGACCCGGTGACCGAGACCTGCGCGGATACGTCGCCGTGCCCGGGCCCCGCGCGCTCCCGCCGGCCGCGCCCCTTCCGCCGGCCCTCCCCTCCTTTCGAAACCCCCTGGTCCCAGCCCGAGGCCCCCGGCCTGGGAGGGGGCCCCCGCCAAGCCCGAGCCCGTCGGGACCCTCGCGTCCCCGCCCTCGACCCCAAAGTCTGCGGGTCCAAACGCGTTTCCTCCGTTTT